TTATTATTATTATTATTATTATTATTATTATTATTATTATTATTATTCAGCATAGTTATCTCATTTGCTGTGTACACTGTCATAATAATAATGGTAATAATAGTAATAATAATAGTAATAATCTCAGAACTTGTGGTAGGTGTACCAGTATAGTAAAACATAAACCAGTGGTCTTCAAACTTGGCACGTTTAAGACTGGTGGACTTCAACTCCCAGAATTCCTGAGCTAACATGACTGGAAGAGGGATTCTGGGAGTTGAATTCCACAAGTCTTAAAAATGATCCCTTTCCATCATTTTAAAATGATGGCTTGAGTGATGCTACCTAAATTCACATAGTATATTATTATAACAAAACCGGAACAGGGTACTTTGGGCTTCTGTACCCTACAGGGATTAAATTGTCTTAATGTGCCTCACGCAAACCAATTCATCGCATTAAGCCTGCACATGAGATTTGGAACGGTGTTCTGTTATCTTGGTTTTGGGTGGAGTGTGTTGTGTGAACCAAGCCAGAGAGTCCTTGGCCAAAGCAACCCTCCTGTCCTTGCCGAAACAGTTGAGCTGGTCAAGGAAAGAACCGTGAAGGCACACAATGAAGGACACCCCTCCCCCCCCCCCATACTGAGGAAGCCGTACAGGGAAGGGGGTGACGGCAGACCCTCTGAGAGGAAACGGGGCCCCTTGTGGAACGACAGGCTGACCCTCCTCTGTGTGACGGCTGAGCTTTCAGGCATGCAGATCCCACCCGTGGCCATGCAGGGATCGTGCCTGGCGCAAGGCTGGGGTTCTACTCGGGCAAGGAAGCAGGCAAAAGGGGGCAAAAGGAGGATGGGTCCAGAGAGAGAAAAAGCATCCAGGAGAGTCTGAGGGAGCGCCAGCACACACACACGCACACACACACACACACACACACGCGTCCCGGCAGCAGGCAGGTGGGTGGTTGCCACTCACAGTTCATGTTGATCTGCTGCGACAGTTCGATCAGCTCCATCTCGGTGGGCATGTAGCCCATGGTCCGCATGCAGTTGCCCAGGTCTCGGCAGTTGATGTAGCCGTCTCGGTCTCGGTCAAACTCTTTGAAGGCTTCTCTCAGCTCTGTGGGGGCAAATCCAGGTGAGGGCGGGGCCTGTGGAAGGGGGCGGGTCTTTTCACCCTTGCCTCTTGCAAAGCCTGGCCCTGGGGGGTCTCTCATCCAGGGTCTGGGAGGGGCTCTCTGCCCTCCCATGGCTGGCCGGAGCTCAAGCAGTGCCTCGGAAGCCACCGTGGCAACCTATGTGTTCCTGCAGAGCCAGAGGTGGGATTCAGCCAGTTCTGGAGATCCAGTAGCGGAAATTTTGACTAGTTCGGAGAACCGGCCTATGCCGCCTCTGACTGGCCCCGCCAACCCCATCTCTTCTCTGCCTCCCATTGAGTCCCAGCTGATCGGCTGGGTCTCCTTTGGTTGCCCTGCACAGGAGAACGGAGCTGGGAAGCAGGTTAGTAGGGTGGGGAGGGAAGGGGGATTTTGCAATAACCTTCCCCTGCCACGCCCACCAAGCCAAGCCACGCCCACAGAACCGGTAATAAAAACATTTGAATCCCACCACTGTGCAGAGCCCCTTCCAGGCCTCTCTGAGATTTCGCATGTTCAAGGAATCAGCTTGCAGTGAAGCGCAAGAAACACCACACTCCCTCTCGGGATCTTCCAAGGGGGAGCAATTTACTTTAGCCTCAAACTAACCTCTATTGACCTCACCCCATTCCTGTAAGGGGCGTGCATAAGCGCACCGTCCCTTGTGCCCACCGTCCCTGTCCTATTGTCCCCAATTATTAGTTCCTATTTCATGTAAGTTTATTCTTATTTCTATTATTTATTTATTTATTTGATTTGATTTGATTTGTCAGTTGCTTACAAGATAATAGGTATAAGTAAAAACAGTTATGAAGACATATAAGAAAATATAAGAAAAATAAGACAGGGACGGTAGGCACATTGGTGCGCTTATGCACGCTCCCTACAGACCTCTTAGGAAAGGGGTGAGGTCAATAGTAAACAGTCTAAGGTTAAAGTTTTTGGGGTTTGGGGAAGAAACCACAGAGTCAGGTAGATTATTCCAGGCACTGACCACTCCGTTGCTGAAGTCGTATTTCCTGCAATCAAGTTTGGTGCGGTTAACCTTGAGTTTGTATCTATTGTGTGCTCTTGTGTTGTTATGATTAAAGCTGAAGTACTCATTGATGGGTAAGTTATTGCAATGTATGATTTTATATACTATACTTAGATCAAACCGGAGGCGGCGTAGTTCTAGGTTTTCTAGGTCTAGAATTTTGAGTCTGGTAGCATAAGGTCTTCTGCAACGAGTAGAGGAGTGGAGAACTCTTCTTGTGGAATATTTCTGGACTTTCTCAACTGTGCTAATATCAGATACGTAATGTGGGTTCCAGACTGATGAGCTGTATTCGAGTATGGGTCTAGCAAATGTTTTGTATGGCTAGCAAATTATATTGTAAGCATCTGGCTAAATAAATAAATAAATAAATAACACCCACCCCCACCCCCCCGAGAGGATGGATATGGTGCTTGGCCGGAGCCCAGAGAGGTCATGTGGAGCAGGTGCCCAAACTGCCAGGTGAACAGGGGTCCTGAAAAGAAGGTGGTGGGAGGGGCATGGGGGGGGGGGATTGGGGCTTTCTCCCCCAAGCAGCCTCCTGGGGATTCAGCAGTCCCTTCGCCTTGGAGCAAGATGCCCACCGTGATCGTCTTCTTCCACCGGTGTGAAGAAGCTGGCGACGAAAGGGAGGTTGATTCCCTTTTGGGGAGCAGAGAAGCAGCAATTGAGCGACAGCCCCCCTCCTCCGCACACGCACACACACACACCCCCGAGGTCTTTTTAGCCACTCCCGGCAGCCCGCAAAGAGCTAAAGGCACGACTGTCCATGGAGGTTCTCCATCATTCAGGTCATGGTTGTTCCAAACACGTTTTCCAAAAGGGCAACTGGGACTTCCTTGGTTTCTCTTTGAAAACCTTTTGCTTCTCATCTGGGAGGTTTCTTTCTTTCTAACCAACTGATGGAGGATGGAAGCACTTATATTCTTTGCAGTCACCTCGTTGCTAGCACTCTGTGGGGTTGTCGTAACGTTAAGAAGCAAAAGTGTTTTTCAAAGGGAAAAAAAAAAGCGCAAGAAAGTCCAGTTGCCTTTTGGGCTAAAGCCAAATACGATGCCACTCAAAGCATCTCAGAAGATCGTTCAGTTCTGCTTGTGTTTTATTATTTCCATTTGATTTTTTTAAAAGTTCCTTTTTGTGGCTCTTTTGTCTCAAGTTTTTTATGTTTTTCTTCTAATGACAACCGTTGTTGGGGTAAAGCCCCATAGGATGCCACTCAAAGCATCTCAGAGGTCCATGGTTTGAACTCGCAGTCCACAATCCCCGGGCTGCAACTGATTCGGAACCGGGCCATGCAAGCGGCAGGCAAACACGTCGGTGTGTGAAGCTCCACTTGTGAGAGTGGTGGGCATTCACACTTGCACCTCCCACTCATACACAACCGTTCCCCCAACCCTACCCCACTCCGGCAAGGTTGGGGACTAAGAACCTCTCCAAAACTCACTTAGCGTCTCTGTACTCCGCCCTAGGCAGGGACTGGGAATTGCTAGGACCTCAGACCCTCAGTCTGGCCCCCCAGCCAGTTGCTTCCCTGCCACCAATTCAAATTCCCACTTCCAAATCAATCTGCCACCCAAAGATGTTTCTCCAGTTTTCACACTTCTCAGAATGTATGTAAGAATGCAAGTTTTCACACACAGTAATAATCCAATCTCTGTACATTTGTGGGTGGGAAATACAGAACCACCGCTTGCAAAGCTGGATTGGTAGATAAGTGAAAGAGAGAGAGACAGACAGACAACATGCCCAAATGCATGTGAATTTTTATGACTTTTTTTTTTTAAAGTTGTCAGTTGCCGGAGAAGTGGGAGAGAACTAAAAATTGAAAAAATGAGAACGGGAGTCTCAGACATTAATGGCCCCCTTTCCCTTTTACGGTCCTCTGAACCAGGGGCCTCCAACCATTGGTGGGATTCAATTTTTTTTTACTACCGATTCTGTGGGCGTGGCTTGGTCGGCGTGGCTTGGTGGGCGTGGCACGGGAAGGATACTGCAAAATCCCCCTTCCCTCCCCACCCCACTAACCTGCTTTCCAGCTCCGTTCTCCTGTGCAGGGCAACCAAAGGAGACCCAGCTGATCAGCCGGGACTCAATGGGAGGCAGAGAAGAGACGGGGTTGGAGGGGCCAGTCAGAGGTGGGATTGGCCGGTTCTCCGAACTACTCAAAATTTCCACTCCTGGTTCTCCAGAATTGGTCAGAACCGGCTGAATCCCACCTCTGTCTCCAACCTTGGAAACATTAACACTGGACTTCAACTCCCAGAATTCCTCAGCCAGCAAAGTTGGCTGAGGAATTCTGGGAATTGAAATCCATAAGCCTTAAAGATGCCAAGGTTGGAGATCCCTGCTCTAAACCAGGCCTCTCCACACGTGGCAACTTTAAGGCTTGTGGGTGGGGACATCGGGGAGTTGACGTCCACAAGCCCTAGTTGTCCAGTGTGGAGACTTCCTGCTCTAAAACAGTAAAAAGAAAGAAAGAAAGAAAGAAAGAAAGAAAGAAAGAAAGAAAGAAAGAAAGAAAGAAAGAAAGAAAGAAAGAAAGAAAGAAAGAGGAAGACATCTTACCATCAATTTCTTCTGGACGCAGCTCTCTGTCCTGCGGGGGGAAAAGTTCCTGTGGTTAAAAAAATGGGCTCTTCTTCAGAGCATACACTGAGTGTGCTGACAAGGGAAGTGAGGAAAAGGCTTGAGGGGTCATGGAGAGGTCATCTAGTCCAGTACCCAATCTGGCCAAGAGAGTTTGCACCCAAGCTCATCCGTGTAATTCAGGGGCACCTGAAGAAAAGGCCTCCCTGCTAAGGACGGAGGACGGAGGATGTGGTAGAGGCTGTGGGGAGGGAAGGCCCTATTCTCGGGTGCGGAGTTGGACTCAGGGGTGGGATGAAAACATTTTTACTGCTGGTTCTGAGGGCCTGGCTAGGTGGGAGGGTCTAGGTGGGTGCGGCCATGTGACTGGGTGGGCATGGCTTCTTCTCCTTTCTTCTGCAGCAACCCCCCCGCCCCCCGGCTCCGTTTTTTGGCCTTCTGGGCCTCAGGGAAGCCTCCTGGGGGGCATTTTTGCTCCGGGGGGGCTTCCCTGAGGCCCAGGAAGGCAAACAATGGAGCATGGAGAGGCGTGCAGCTGATCAGAACAGCTGATCATTGGGGGGGGGGGGGGAGAAAGAAATTCCACTTCGGCCGAATGGTAACGTTTTTTACTACCGGTTCACATGAACCAGGCCGAAGCGGTAGAATCCCACCACTGCTTCCAACCCTCTTAGTGTACGTTCTGTGTTCCTTCCGCCCTGTTTCAGCTGCAGCCTCCCCGCTCCGGCTGCCCAGGGCAGCAAAATTGGCCCAGCCTTAGCCCAGAGATGCCGGTATCGGGCGCCCGAAGGGATCCTGGGGGTAGGGGGAGCGAAGGAGGAGAGGCCAACAAAGCCACGAAGCAGCCGAGATGGGCCTTGCGCTTCAGAGGTGAACGATGGAAGCAGAAGAAAACTCTGTGGCTGCCATGAAGGGAACCAAACCCAGCTGGAAATGCGCTGCTTAAGGGGGTGGGTGGGGTGGGAATCTCTTCTTCCATTGGATGCTGCTGTCTCCCAGGTGGTAGGTCCCCCCCCCCTCCCCCAGTCCCAATCTCCTTATCTGACAAAGCCACCGCACTGCTACTCCACCTACCGGGCTTCTGCCCAGAGCCCGGGGTGGTTCCAAAGGGAGCAGAAAGGCTGAATTAGACAGTAAATTGCTTTTGGGTGCCCCCCCCCCCACATCCCCCACCAGAACCTTCTTTCCAGATGCCCTCCCTCCCCCTCCTTTTGCCAGGCTGGGGGGAGGGGGTGAACGGGAGGGGCTGCGAAGGAGAGAAGGCGGCTTCCTTGCTTATTTGCGAGCCTCTGCGGAAGATCCTCCGTTGCAGCCATTGGCTGGTTTGGGGCAAGGATCCCTCAAGGATGCCAAGAGCAATAAGGCAACAACAGGAATAGTCACCCAGAGAGCTGGAGCTGAACCCAGACAGATGCCTGGCAGGGAACTTGAGAGGAGCCGTGTGTGTGTGTGTGTGTGTGTGTTTGTTGGTTTGTTTGTGTTTGTTTAAATAACTTTTAGGGCACCCTGAGGAGAGCTTTCCTAGCAGGCATCCTGGCGTAACTGTGGGCTTGCAATGTTCCTGCCGGGGGGCACACGTAGGAGATGCCCCAAGGGTCAGCCGTTTCTTCCCTCTGGCGCTCCATCAGCCCCCACCTTCCCCAAGGCCCCTCCTCAAAGGTGTGGTCCACCTGAGCTCAGCGTAGCATCACTTTCCATGGTCCTCCTGCTGCAGCTCAGCTCTTCCTGTGGTGTTCCTGCAGCTGAGTGGTGTTCAGGACATGGGAACCTCCCCGAGCACGGCAAGGGCCAGGCGGGGGGGGGGGGAGGAGGAGGAGGAGGAGGAGGAGAGGTTCCGCGCAGGCGATCCTGTGCCCCCTGTAGGCGGCCTGTCCCAAGAGCGGGGCTGTGACTTACATACCGGCTGCCTGTTTTCCGCGAATCCCTTCCTCAGGAAGATGCAGGCCGGGCCGAGGAGGTTGTGCATCACCGCGCAGTTCTGGGCCAGCACCATGAGGGAGCCCTGGCCCTCACCGGCCGACGGCCCCTCCTCACTCAGCGGGACCGCCTTATAGCAGGCCTTCTCCTCCTGGTGGATCTTCTTGGCCAGTTCAGCAGCAAGCAAACAACACAACAGAGGAAGTTACCTCTCTGCGTCCCCAGGCTCAGGTGTCTCCCCCACCCGAGAATCACCCCTGCCTCTGGGATGCCCCCCCCCCCCCCCATCCCTTGAAGTGGCACAGCCTTCTCAGCCGGGGATGTTTTGAGAGGATTCTAGGAGACAAGCTACGTCTTTCAGGCCCAGAACGTTCTACCTCCCAGGCACCTGGTACCCGGCTATCCTTCCACCGTCTCTCCCGTGTTCCTCCCTGCAGTTTGGCCTCAGAGTAAGTGCACAAAACACAAGTTCACTTCAAAGAAGGGACGCACGTTTACACGACTCCGTCAAGCACTTACAGCAGGAGTTCCCAACCACCTTTCCTGCCCCTCACAGCCCTAGAACACTTCTGATATATCCTCACGCTCCTTAAAAATAATTATATGCATGTAACTATACATATCATTATACATCTAATTACATTGATAATGGTACAGGGATGCGGCTACGATGCCGAAGAAAGGTCGGCAGTTCGGCGGTGAGCATCCTTAGCGCCGCGCAACAGAGTGAGCTCCTCCTGTTCCTTGTCCCACCCAGCTTCTGCCAACTAGCAGTGCGAAAGCAAGTCAAAAATGCAAGTAGAAAAACAGGAACCCCTTTGGTGGGAAGGGAAGAGCGCTCCATGCGCCTTCAGCATTTAGTCATGCCGGCCACATGATCCCGGCGACGTCTTTGGCTTTGGAATGGAGACGAGCACCAGCCCCTAGAGCCGGAAACGACTAGCCAGGGGAACCTTTGCCTTATACAGAAACACTGTAATTTTGACACTTCTAAACCCAGGTTTTCGCACCCCCTGGAATATCCTTTCGCAGCCCCGGTTGGGGACTGAACTTAGAGAGGGTTGCAAAGCTGGCTGGGGAATTCTGGCAGTCGAAGTCCACAAGTCTTCAAGTTGCCACGGTTGGGGAGCACTCGGAAGCGGCACGTCAGTCTAAGTGCCACTGCCACTGCCACTGCAAGTCAAGCATCCCCCTCCAGCCCCTGGATGTGACTTCTGCGATGACCTCCAAAGCCCACTCAGTCCTCCCAACGGACAACAGAGGCAGCATGGAAGGAGGTCTTCTGGATGACTTCCGTCACCCCTAAGCAAGAAGGGCTGGGAAGGCCAAGACAACCCAGCCAGGGTGCAACCGGCAACCATCATTTCTCACTGCAAGAACTACAGGTAGTCCTCGAGTTAAGACCACAGCTGAGCCCAACATCTTTGTTGCTAAGTGACCCATTTGTTAAATGAATTTCGCTCCATTTTATGACCTTGCTTGTCACAGTTGTTAAGTGAATCACTGCAGTTGTTAAATTAGTAACACGGTTGCTAAGTGAATCTGGCTTCCCTCCCATGGAAGATCGCAAAAAAAGGGGTTTATGTGAGGGGGTGACACGACAATGGTCATAAATGTGGATCAGTCCCCAAGCATCTGAATTTTAATCAGGTGAACACGGGGGAGGCTGCAACGGTCGTAAGTGTGAAAAACGATCATAAGTCACTTTTTTCAGTGCTGTTGTAACTTTGAATGGTCACTGAGTGAAGTGGTGTAGGTCAAGGACTGCCTAGGTTGAAGTGGGAGATAAATAAGAATGTCTGCATCCACCGATGTCTGGGGCCCAGCAGCCCCCAGCATGGCCATGTGGAGGGGTAATGGACTGTATGGATGACCTTCAGGGAGGAGGGGAAACAATCAGAGAAGAGAGAGTGGAGCCCCAGACACTTAAACGGCCAGAGGAAGAAACTTAGGAAGGAGCTGCCTTAACTGATCAAGGGTTTACAAGGGTGGGGCAGGAAGTTTGTACCTGCAAGATCCTTTTGATGCAACCTTGCCATAAAGTAGACTCGTTATCTCACCTGTTTGTATTTCCTGTCTGGCTCACCTGGCAGGGCTGACACGAGGGAGATCCCCTTCCCAAGAGTCTGAATTGCTATTTTTAAGACAAGTGTTGGTGTGGTGGAGGGGTTTTCAATTCAATGTGTGGAGGGTGAAGGATGTGCGTTTGTGTTTATTTTCATGGTCATGGTGTGCACTGAAGACGGTGCTTGATTTCGTTGTAAGAGGTGCAAGGATAATAAAGTAAACTAACTAACTAAGGCAGTAGCAAAAACAATAAAGGTGGGGATAAAAATATCTTTAAAAATATTAATAAAATATTAATAAAAGCCTCTAGCAGAGGCTCAGCCTTTAGGACAAGGTTTGCTTTCAATATTTGGGGATGGAGGTTCCAGGTAACAATCCACCTTCTCTACCTCAGATAGGACTGGATAAAATACCCCCAATGAGGTTTTGGAAGAAGGAAGGCTTCCTTCTTTATTAGGGCTTCCTCTAGCACAGGGCTCTCCAACCTTGGCAACTTTTAAGACTTGTGGACTTCAACTCCCAGAATTCCTCAGCCAGCAGAATTCTGGGAGTTGAAGTCCATAAGTCTTTAAGTTGCCAAAGTTGGAGACTCCTGCTCTGGAACAGTGTTTTTCAACCATGGCTGCTTTAAAATGTGTGTACTTCAACTTCCAGAATTCCCCAAAGAGCATGGCCGGCTGGGGAATTCTGGGAGTTGAAGTACACGTATCTTAAAGCAGTTACAGTTGAGAAGCACAGCTCTAGAGCCGTGAGGGCCAAACTGTGGCACGTATGCCAGAGGTGGCACGCAGAGTCCTCTCTGCGGGCATGTGAGCCGTCGCCCTAGCGTAGCTCTGCCGTGCATGTGCGCGTGCCTCTCACCGGCCAGCTGGTTTTTGGGTCTCTGCTGTGCATGCGTGGGGGGGGGGGGGGGCTGTATTGCATTTTTGGGGTTTGCATGCACGGTTTGGGCACTTGGTGCCGAAAAGATTAGCCATCACGCTCTAGAGTCTTCACCTGTCCCCCTTTCTGCAACTAGGTGAAGCCTGCCCGGTTGATTCTCATCAGAAAAGCTTTCCAGGGCCCCAGGCTGCCATCCCTGCTGCAGGGAAAGGCCTGTTGTCACGGTGGAGGTCATTCCTGGCCTTCTTTTTGCAGACTGAAGCCCTTATGGGGACAGACTTCTGCACCAAGCCAGAAAATTCAAACGGTTGGTGGGTCAGCTCCCTCCCAGCTTCCATGAAAGAGCCCCTCCCTGAATCTGGGTTCTCCCACCCACTGACTGAGTCCTTTCATTAAGGCTGCACTCGGTGCGTGCACAGAAAACTTTGCCCAGACTGACCAGCCATTCGGAATCCCTCAACTTTCTGCTGTGGAGGTTTTAGGTCATGGAGAGTGGCTGGTGCGAAGGAGAAATGGAAGTCCTGTCCCTCTGGAACAGGCGTCTCCAACCTTGGCAACTTTAAGACTTGTGGACTTCAACTCAGTGGTGGGATTCAAATAATTTAACAGCTGGTTCTCTCCCTCATGATTTCTTCCAACAACCAGTTCACCAAACTGCTCTGAAAATTAACAACCGGTTCTCCCGAACTGGTGTGAACTGGCTGAATCCCACCACTGCTTCAACTCCCAGAATTCCTGAGTTAACATGACTGGCTGAGGAACTCTGGGAGTTGAAGTCTGAAAGTTGTCAAGGTTGGAGACCCCTCCTCTGAACTTTCCAGAGGTTTCCTGTGCAACACGGGAGCCTTGCCGACCACGCATGCAGTTGTCTGTCGGTCTTGTGCACGGCCCAGAGAGAAAGAGAGGAAAATCCAGCAGCGGCAGCAACAAGCAGCTGCCAGCGATGACCTGGTATAGCTCCACAGGAGCTGGCTGCATCCTGGGTTTGAAGCCACTGGATGCAACGCAGCCGCTACCTGACTCTCTCTCTGGGGGCCAGACCCATTCCCCCGGCCCGCCTCCCCCCCACCCCCGCCTCTGGGGCCCAGCTCCTCCAACAGGCCTTCTGGGATCCAGCTGGAATCCTGTCTGAGTGCTTCCAGGCCCAACGGAGTCAGTGGCTCACCTTATATAGTCATGTGCCCCCACCCACCCCGAGCTCTGCTAGAAAAGCTCCTTCCCGACATTCCCATGCAGCTATAAAAAGCAGCGGGGCTCCCAAGGACCTCTGCATTCGGCGCAATAAACATTCCCGATCCTATTGCTGATCTCATGAGAAGCAGAGAGACTTTCCTCCCCCCCCTCCAAGGTCCCCGGGGGCCCCTTTCAGAGCTGCTGTGAAGAAGCTGCCCACCCCCACCCACCCCAGCATGGCAGGGGGCTTCCTGGCAGGGCTGGGAATATGGATTCAGGGGGCACCTGCGCTGCCATGCGGAACGGCCACGAAGGCTTACGGCAGGGCACAGACGGCGGTTTGGTCGGTCCAGAATGCAGCCGGAAGGGAGCTGCTTGGGTCAGCTGCCCCTGGCGCTGGGGGTGGTATTCCGACCCAAACCTTGTTCCAAGGAAACAAACGCCAAACGGAGGTAACAGCAAAACCTTCTAATGATTCTTTACGAATTCCGTTCCTTCCCGGTTAAAAGGCTGTTTCCAACTAATTGTCTCTGATAAGAACGAGCCTTGCCAAGGTGGTGCAAGGCTGCCAAGAACACGAGATAAAGTTACTAAGAAATATTTCAAATACAGTCTCCAAACACCAACTCAGATATCCGAACATCCACAAGGCTTGAAGATTCTCCTGCAAAGAATCTCAGTCTCTCAACCTGGTTTTTATCTTCTCAGGGAGGGGCCATTGCTTTGCAGCCTTACTCCTGAGTTGCCCGTGCTGCTGCAGTGGCTCTTTCCTTCAAGCAGCCCTGCATGCACGCACCCTGGGCCCAGGCTCCTTGGGGGCCTCTGCATCACCGCTGCCAGCCTCCACAACCTCCAAAGGCAGCACCCCACTCCCTGATGGTCCTGGCCCCATCCCGGCCTCACCCGCAGGCCCCTCCCTCACCTGAGTCCTCGCTCTCCTAGACCTCAGCCATCCACACCTGCTGCTGGCGAACCACAACAGGTGGGGGCAGGAGCAGCATCCGCAACCAAGAAGCCTCCACAAACTCAGGTGGGCGC